GGAGCCCGATGCGGGACTCGATCCCGGGACTCCAGGATCATGACCCGAGCCGAAGGCAGTCGCTTAACCAACTGAGCCACCCAGGCGCCCTAAAAATCCTCATTTCTAACCATTAACAACATTTCTACCTATTTTACCTCATAAAATATGTATGACAGTTCGGAATAATAACATAGCACTGGGACCCCACGACTCCTGAAAGCAACTCAGAGCTCCTTTGCCTTCCTTTTGCCCTGGGGCTGACCCCACAGGAATGTTGAGTCCAATCACGGGACATAATTCCTCTCTGGGCAGTTAACCCACCACCTGGGAGGAGAGCTGCACTCACTCGCTTTGCTTTTGTTTTTTTAGGATTTGATTTTTTAAATCTTGCCTTAATTTTGTTTTATACTTATGTAAAAAACTGGTATTTTTCTGAAGGCAAATCTAGCAAACAGGGTCCACCCAGAGGAGTCCAGCGTCCATCCCTTCTCTCCTCTCTGGTGTCCTGTCCTGTCATTGGTGACTGTTTCTACAGCTTTATCTTTGCAGGTGCAACCATGAGCCCCGTGCGCCTGTGCGTTCCTCCCCGCTTAGACGGCGGGGCCTGCGCTCTTCGCACTTCCGACGGTTGCCTGCAGTTTCCCATCATCCGGGCATCTCGTGTCCTTACAGCTGGTTGGGAAGGGTTGACCACCGGGAGCTTTTCTCCAGGCTTTGTTGTGCCAAAGGGCATGGCGGTGACGGTCTTGCTCATCAACCATTCTGTGCTTTTGTTGGTGATCTCTGGGATATATTCATTCCTAGGAGGGCATTGTTTGGTCACAAAGTAAATGTGTGTCAGAGACGAACGCTGTGGCATGTTGCGTCCTGCAGACATAACCGTTATTAGGATTATATTTTATTAGTATGATTATAGTTTGCTGCTATACATACTGTCGTGAACGTATGTGTGACCATAGCTTTGATGACGTTGGGATTATTTCCTTATGATGGATTCCTGGAAGGGGAGCTCTTGGGTCAGCTCTCGGGGCACGAGCGCCTTTGGACTCCTCATAGATCTGCAGCAGCTGCTTTTCCGACTGCCTGCCTCCCTGCACCCCCTTTCCTTGCCCTGTCCCCAGTCTTTCCCCGCCCATGGATCTTGTGGCTCCTGCCTCCTGGGTGACAGGAGCTTCCAGGTTGAATGTGCCCCGCCCCACCAAGCCACTTTCACAGACAGAGGTGGCACTTCATGCCCTGTGCAGCTTCTTCCCGAAGTACCTCTGCCCCCCTCCCCCCACCTCCTGCACAATGACGTATCCTCAGAGCGTTTTCTTTTCGTTTCTTTAGCCTGTTGTAGACCGCGAGCTTCTTGTGCTCAGGGCCGTGGAGCTTGGAGCCTTACATCCCAAGTGCCCAGCCCCGGGGCTTCAGCCAGAGAGCCCTGACACAGCAGCCCTGGCCCGGTTCACAGATGCGGGCACAGCTCCCGGGAGTGAACCGAATGCCCCTGCTGTGTCAGGCCTCCGCAACTTCACCCAGGCTGTTTCCTCGGTCCTCCCAGTGACCTCCAGGCGTCCTTCAGTGCCAGCGCAGGGAGCATGCAGCTCTCCTGGGGAGCGGGGTCTCTCTCTGAGCTCCCGGTCCAGAGCCCTTCTCCCTGTTTCCTTGGGTGGGCGGGGGCGGCATTGCCTTTCATTCAAGGCCCTCCTGGCCCTTCCCTCTGCACCCATGCTCCACCCAGCACAGACACCATCCCACCCAGTGGGAGCACCCAGAGAGGCCCAGGAATCACTGCACCCGGCTGGGTTCACTGGGAGCGTGCGTTAGCCCCGCCTCCTCCTCCCCCTCCCTTCTTCCCCATCCTCCCCCTCCTCCTCCTGCCTCCTCGGTTCATGCCTGCTGGGGTCTCTGGGACCCAGTGCCCAGCATCTCCGACCCCCATGCTGCTGGGGTGCCTGGGCTGGGCTCCTAGTGCTGCAAGGGGTTCCCTGAAATGAGCCCACACGTGGTATCCCCGACACGCTCCACCCTGAGACCCCCGGGCGTGTCCCCACTTTCCCAGTAAGGCCACCCCTGACCACCCCAGGCCCGTAGCACCTTTCTCCACCCACGTGTTCCATATTTACACATTTGCTTTTGGCCCCTGGGCCTGGTGCATACTAAGCCTCTGCAAATATTTGTTGAATGAATGAATACATTTATTAGGAAGGTTTAATTTTTTGATTTTGAGAAACCAGTTGCAGAGCAGACGGCCCTGCTGAATTCTCTCTTTTGCCCTAGTGAACTTTGTTTTGCAGGGGCTGTACAAAGCCAACGAGCGGTTTGGGCCAGGCATTGAGACCTACCCCGACGGTAGCCAGGACGTCGGGCTGTGGTTTCGGGAGCACCTCATCAAGCTGTGCACAGAGGTCCCCAGCAGCTTCTCCATACACGACTACCCTGAGTACTCAGGCTTCCTCACGCACTCTCCTGCTAGAATCAGCCTCTTGGGCGAGGAGAAAATGGAGTGGGACCTGCATGAGGAACAGGACCCCTTTTTCTACGACTATAAGCGGTTTCTTCTGAATGATGACTTAACTCTGCCTCCAGAAATGTACACCTACTCAACCAACAACAGCCACCTGCCCATGACCTGCTCTTTCCGCAAAGAATTAGATGCCCTGATCTTCCTTAACGATGTCCCTCCGTTTGTTGAGGACAGCGAACCCTGGTTTATAAAAAATGAGACCCCTTTGATGGTCAAAATCCAGAAGCAAGCTTATAAGTACAGGTAAGTCGTCACATCGTTCTTCATCACCTCAGCGCCTGGAAGGCCTGCTCCTCCCCGCCGCTGACGGGCCTGCGCTCAGTGCTGGGTCCCCGGAGGCCTCCGGTGCCTGGCTGAGTAACTTGCAGGGTTATTTGTCAGGTTAAATCATATGTGCTCTCCTGTTTGACTGAGGCAGCCCAGAGATGGAGGGGGAGGGAAAGCCGTGACGGGCCTGTGAGCAGGGACATGTCCCCAGGTTTCGAGGAGAGGGGTGGAGCAGGCAGGTGCTGGGACCATCGATGTTCACACAGGGTATTGGGACTCCGGATCCTGCTCACCCATTCTTGGGGGCAGGAGTGGTCAGGGGGTTGCTTGGTGAGCATGGAGAAGAGTGTAGAGCCTCGCAAGGGGATGTGGAATAGGGTCATCTCCTGAGTTGATGGGGCTGAGTTCAAATCCTGGTTCTGGGACCCTGTGTGTATTTTCTCTGTACTGGTTGGAGCTTGCACCCCAGCCTCTGCAGGTCGTGTCTGCGACTAGGTGTCTGGTAGGTCGGGTATCTACGCGAGGTCCACACAAAGAGAAGGGACTGCTATTACCTTGTAATGTATGTATGAGTACGGATCTGACGCGAGAGCCAAGGTGGGAGAGCAGGGTAGGAGTAGGCTGGGGGCTGGCGGAGCCTCTGGCTTCTCCAAAATGGCTGGGAAAGATGGAGCTGCTTCGTTGGTCTCCAAAGACACCCTTCTTCCCCACCCCAGCCCTGGAAAAGTTAGCAGCTACTTGATGAAAACTGATATTTTAAGTTAAAATTTTGAAGAATATTTTCATTTGTTTACTAAACTTTGTCCTCTGATATCACTAAACTGTTTTAGAATTCATGTTTGGTAAACACAAGTGGCTGGCTACTTATGCATTCATGCTTCCCCCCACTTAATCCCTCCACCCATCCCTCCACCCATCCCTCCCTCTCTCCCTCCCTCTGT